CCCCCACCCCCGCCCTCCACAGAGTTACTGCCCCCAGGCCAGGTTAGGCTTTTGCAACCGTTGCAGGGAGGAGACAGTAGTGAGCACCGATCAGATCCCAAGTCCGCCTCTTCCTCATCTGTCCCTCAGAGTGAGGGGTGGACAGCGAGGCTATCTGAACCATGAATGTGATTACGCAGCCAGAGCCCAGCTCTGCCCAACTTTGCCACATCTGTCCCGCCTGGGGGTTGATCCAGAAATGGATGGATGAGGCAGGAGGATGACTTCATCCCCTACACTGTGTGAACTGAGCACCTACTACATGCCAGTCTGTTCCAGGAGCTGGGGAGACAGCAGTGAGTCCAAGAGGCGCAGACATTAAGGTGTGTGTGTGCACGCGAGGAAGGCATGGGTATAGACAGACGGACAGCAAACATGCACATGTTCGGTCAGGAGTTGATGCTGTGAGAAACAGAGCAGAGAAAGGGAGAGCAGGAGGGACAAAGGCCCCGAGGTGAGAGTGAGGTGTCAAAGGTGATGGGAGCCAGAGATAAGACAGGGATGCGCCTGGCTGGGAAGCTGGGTGAAGGAGACAGCGTTCTCAGGATTTTAAGGGTTTCTCCTGCTATGAGCCGGGTACCCCCTAAGCTGCTGGGAACGGCCCTCCCTGGTCAGGGAAACAACCCCCCCATCCCGACTTCCCTCCTGCCACCATGGCAGCTCTGAGGAGAGCTAACGGGGGAAGAAGCGAGCTACAAATCCATCCTGGCTGCACTGGTCCCCTCAGCCCAAACTCTGGCTGCCAGGACTTATTACTTCATTTAAGCCATTCTCAGTCTGTAGGATGTTCCCTCTCAGCACCTGCCCAGCCAGTCCCCGCTCCCACCCCACAACCCAGGCATCTGAGCCCCATCCCTGGGTCTGAGTCCCAACAAAGGCAGGCCCCAGGGGACGAGCAGCCACCAAATCCGAGATCGGGCTTGCCGCTGGCAGAGCCCCTTTGAGATGGAGAGTGGCCAGCAATCCAGAGACCCCCCCACTGGCATCTGGGCTTCCCCCCGAGGACCCGCTCCCGTGGGAGACCGACAGAGGGGCGTCTCAGCCACCTCCCCGCCCCCCATCCTCTTTTTTTTCCCAGGCTGCGGGAGGCAAAGGGTTAAATCCCATAGAGCTGATGCTCTGACTCCAGGCTAGAGGGGCCCGGGAAGCTGGGGTCACTTCCTGCTCCGTCCCAGTCACCCTGAACTGGTCCCCGGGTCCTCAGCCTGGGATCACCCCTTGAGAAGGACCCCAGAGTCCTCGGCGTCCAGCCCGCCCCCCGAGGCAGGGCATTCAAGGGGTTAAGTCCCCTGGGGCTGGATTCTGCCTTCCGGCCTTCCCCAGACCCCAGAGCCGTGAGTTGGGGACGCCTGGGTTCCTGGGGGGTGGCCCGGAGGGCCCGGGACGGCCGCCGGGAACAATGGGGCGCGGGAGGCGGGGGCGCGCGGGCCTGCGCCCCCTCCCCGCCCCGGGCGCCGGTGGGGTGGGGGCCGGGCAGGGGCCGCGAGGGGCCGAGGATTCTGGGAAGAGCGCGAGGGTCTGGCTGTGGGGGAGGGGAGGGAGGGCGTGAGCATTCTGGGAAGAGGGAATTGGGCGGCCGGCGGGGCCGGGCCGCCGCGGAGCGCCGGAATCCTGGGGGCCCTGCGGGCGGGGGAGGCCAGGATGCGGGGCTCCGGCCCGGGAGCCGGAAGAGGGTCGCGGGGACCGGCCCGAGCAGAAGTCCAGGGTCTGCGCCGGTGCGGGCGGGGGGGGCGGGGGGGGGACGGGGCCCGGGCGGCTGCATTCCCGCAGCTGCCTCCATGTCAGGGTCACCCTGGGCCGCTCTCCACACCTCTCTGCGAGGCAGCCTCCTCCTTCTGTCCTTCCCTCCCTCCTTCCCTCCGCGGTGGGCCCGGCCCGAGGTCCAAGGCGGGTGCCCCGGGGCCCGTGCCTGGGTGGGCTCCCAGCACTTCTTGCCTCCCTCGGTGCTCCCACTTTCCTACTCCATGGCGGCCTTGACTTTAACCCTTTCCCTTCTGCTCGGGACCGCTGAGCTTGAATTTCTCAGGACAATCAAGGTACATAAGCTCTTACCTGTCCTAGGCAAGCCCAGCAGGCCTCTTCAGAATAGGCAGCCCCCAGCGCGGCGGAGACCCCTGCTCCCACCGCTCCAAGGACACTTACAGATGGGGGAGGGGGCATTTCATGGCCTAAAGAGCTGCAGAGATGAAGAAATTAATTTACTTCCCAAAATCCAACTCCCGTCTCTCCTACCGCTATTTGGCAGGGTTCAGCTCGCTCCTGCTTCACTTCGGTTGCCTCCCAGCTGCCTCCTCGTGAGTCTTGGCCATGTCTTCCTGCACCACTGCCCCCATACACACAGTGCCCCTCCCACACAGCCGCTCGAAGCCCGGACCCTCCCCAGGGACTCTGTTAAGGCTCTAAACATCGTGGAAACCTAGAATTTAGCTCCTGAGACCTTATTCCCTCAAGCTGGAATCCTATCACCCTTTTTGGAGTGATAGCTAGCTGTAGCTAAGTTTTACCAGGAGGCCACTCTGAAAGCCTGCTCCTTTGGTGCCAACCCCTTGCAAACTGACCTTTAAAGGCATTAGACCAGATAGGTTTTCCAGGAATGAGGGGCATCTCATTCATTCACCTTCATTCATTCAACAAAATGTGTAAGGCACCTCTTATGTGTCAGGCACTGTCCTAGGCATGGGATATAGCAACAAGAAAACAACAAACGAAATAGAAGAAGGGGTGCCAGGCTGGGAGTGTTAATGGGGGGCTTCAGCGGGGAGTACTGTTTTGAGGTCATCCGCGCATACTGTCAGGCCTAGTCACTGGATGCAACAAGCCAAGGAAAGCGGATGGTCCTGGGAATTTCTCCGCCTCGTGGCCAGCAGGTTCTGTCTGAGCTTTCCTCATCACCCGTCTCCTGCCAGCCGTCCACATTTAGGAGTTTCACGTGATTCCCAAGGTCATCTCCCTTGCAGAGGCTGGGGCGAGCCAGACCCAGAACCTTGCATTTCTGGTCTTAGCTCTGCCACTTCCCAGCCTGTGACCTTGGAGAAATCTCCCTGAGTGCTGATTTCCTGATCTGTAAAATGGACAGCCAGACTCCTGGGTCCCCTCGCAGGCCTGTGGGGAGGATCCGGAGAGATAAGGAGGACAGCATGAGCACCGAGCACCAAGTCAGTGGCTGGGCGGTCTCCACACACTTTCCCCTTCTCCCTTTTCCTTTTCATTTCCCTCTCAAGGTCGTCTCTGTAGAAGCCTCCCATGGCTTCAAACTGCCCCCCCCCCCCTCTGGCTTGAACTTCTTTCTGTGCTTGGATAACGGGAAAATGCCCCAGTCCTTTTGGAGGGCCCCCATCCCCTCAGGGAAATCTGATTGCTTTCATGCTTTCTTTTTTTCTTTTTCCTTTCTCTCTCTCTCTCTCTTTTTTTTTAACTCTTCAAGTGTTCCAGGCACTGTCAGTTCTCTGGGCTCATAAGGAAAGTTTATTGGTCCCAATTAGCAGCCCCATTAAGGAGGAAAATTAGAGTCTTAATGAGCTTCCTCTGATTAGCAAAATAACAGGTTTCCCAGCCTCTGGGCATCAGAGGGGTGGGGTGAGAGCCTCCTTCCCCTGTGGGTGTCAGATACTTCTCTAGCCCCCAGTCTGGGTTCAAATGGTTATGACTGATGAGCTTTTAATTACACACTTAAATTCACCTACTGGCTTAGTTGTGATCTTAAGATCTGGAGCAGGAATCAGGCCTGCAGGGGTAGGGGGGCCACGGTGAGAACTGATGCCCAGAAAAATGGGGAGGTGGGAAACTGAAGTTCACATGAGGAGGAATAAGGCAGGTGAAGGAGTGGGGGCTTGGGGAGTAAAGAAAGGCAGATCAGCTCCCATTGTGTGTTCCTCTCTTCTCCCTCTCCGCCAGGGCCCCTGGAACACTGGGCAGTCCTGAGCTCTGGGATGGAGCCTGAGTCGGCGCTGTGGGGCCCAGATCTGCAGGGTCCTGAACAGAGCCCCAACGATGCTCACAGAGGTGAGGGGCACAAGAAGGGACTGCAGTCCTGACAAGACAGTGGCCCCAGTTCAGGGAGGGGCCCAGACTCTGGGGGACACCCAGGGGAGGGAAGAGAGACCCAACCCCGTGTTCTGAAAGGAGATGGGGGCTGGAGACTCCCTTTCTCTCTGTAGGTGCCGAGAGTGGGAATGAAGAGGAGAGCGCTCAGCAGGAAAGTTCTGGGGAGGAGATCATCTTGGGAGATCCAGCTCCGAGTCCAGAATTCAAGGACCCATCAGAGATGCCCCTGGAGAGACCCTCCCAGGATCCCTCAGTCCCCCAGGACTCCCCAACCCCAATGGGTCACCCCAAGCCCTTGGACCACCAGACCCCTCTGGATCCCCCCGCCCCCGAGGTAGTCCCTACCCCGTCTGACTGGACCAAGGCCTGTGAGGCCAGCTGGCAGTGGGGGACTCTGACCCCGTGGAACAGCCCCCCGGTGGTGCCGGCCAACGAGCCCAGCCTGCGGGAGCTGGTGCAGGGCCGCCCTTCCGGGGCCGAGAAGCCCTACATCTGCAACGAGTGCGGCAAGAGCTTCAGCCAGTGGTCCAAGCTGCTGCGGCACCAGCGCATCCACACGGGCGAGCGGCCCAACACCTGCTCCGAGTGCGGCAAGAGCTTCACGCAGAGCTCGCACCTGGTGCAGCACCAGCGCACGCACACGGGCGAGAAGCCCTACAAGTGCCCCGACTGCGGCAAGTGCTTCAGCTGGAGCTCCAACCTGGTGCAGCACCAGCGCACGCACACGGGCGAGAAGCCCTACAAGTGCACCGAGTGCGAGAAGGCCTTCACGCAGAGCACCAACCTCATCAAGCACCAGCGCTCGCACACGGGCGAGAAGCCCTACAAGTGTGGCGAGTGCCGGCGCGCCTTCTACCGCAGCTCGGACCTCATCCAGCACCAGGCCACGCACACGGGCGAGAAGCCCTACAAGTGCGCCGAGTGCGGCAAGCGCTTCGGCCAGAACCACAACCTCCTCAAGCACCAGAAGATCCACGCCGGCGAGAAGCCGTACCGCTGCACCGAGTGCGGCAAGAGCTTCATCCAGAGCTCGGAGCTGACCCAGCACCAGCGCACGCACACCGGCGAGAAGCCCTACGAGTGCCTGGAGTGCGGCAAGAGCTTCGGCCACAGCTCCACCCTCATCAAACACCAGCGGACTCACCTGCGCGAGGACCCCTTCAAGTGCCCGGTGTGCGGCAAGACGTTCACGCTGAGCGCCACGCTGCTGCGGCACCAGCGCACGCACACGGGCGAGCGGCCCTACAAGTGCCCCGAGTGCGGCAAGAGCTTCAGCGTCAGCTCCAACCTCATCAACCACCAGCGCATCCACCGCGGCGAGCGGCCCTACATCTGCGCCGACTGCGGCAAGAGCTTCATCATGAGCTCCACCCTCATCCGCCACCAGCGCATCCACACGGGCGAGAAGCCCTACAAGTGCTCCGACTGCGGCAAGAGCTTCATCCGCAGCTCCCACCTCATCCAGCACCGGCGCACGCACACGGGCGAGAAGCCCTACAAGTGCCCCGAGTGCGGCAAGAGCTTCAGCCAGAGCTCCAACCTCATCACCCACGTGCGCACCCACATGGACGAGAACCTGTTCGTGTGCTCCGACTGCGGGAAGGCCTTCCTGGAGGCGCACGAGCTGGAGCAGCATCGGGTGGTCCACGAAAGGGGCAAGACCCCAGCCCGCAGAGCTCAGGGCGACAGCCTGCTGGGGCTGGGCGACTCCGCCCTGCTGACGCCACCCCCGGGAGCCAAACCACACAAGTGTCTTGTCTGCGGAAAGGGCTTCAATGACGAGGGCATTTTCATGCAGCATCAGCGGATCCATATCGGCGAAAACCCCTACAAAAACGCAGACGGCCTCATCGCTCACCCGGCCCCCAAGGCGCCTCAGTTCCGACCCCCCAGGCTCCCTTTCGGAGGCAATTCGTACCCAGGGGCTGCGGAGGGCAGAGCTGAACCCCCGGGACAGCCCTTTAAAATGCCCGAGGGGCAGGAGAGCTTCAGCCAAAGGCTGGGCCTGCTCTCTTCCAAGTCCTACATTTGTTCCCACTGTGGAGAAAGTTTTCTGGATCGCGCTGTGCTCCTCCAACATCAGCTCACCCACGGCAACGAAAAGCCCTTTCTCTTCCCTGACTATAGGATTGGTCTAGGGGAAGGTGCTGGGCCCAGTCCCTTCCTAAGTGGGAAGCCCTTTAAATGCCCTGAATGCAAAAAAAGCTTTGGCCTCAGCTCTGAGCTGCTGCTGCACCAGAAAGTCCATGCAGCTGGGAAACCCCAGAAGAGTCCGGAGCTGGGCAAGAGCTCCTCGGTCCTCCTGGAGCACCTCAGGAGCCCCCTGGGGGCCAGGCCCTACAGCTGCTCAGATTGTGGGGCCTCCTTTCTCGATCACCTGGCACTCGCCCGGCACCAGGAGACCCACACCCAAGAAAAGTCCCCCACCCCTGAGGAACCCCCTGCAGAGCCAGCCACCCTGTCCACAAGCCAGGAAGGGGAGGGAGAGGCCCCCACCCCCACGGGGGGCAGCAGCCATGGGGACGGGGAGAACCCCAAGACCCTCTTGGAAGAAAAGCCCTATTTGTGCCCTGAGTGTGGAGACGGCTTCACGGAAGTCGCAGCCCTCCTCCTCCATAGGAGCTGCCACCCAGGGGTCACCTTGTGAAATGGGTCTGGAGACCAGGGGCCTCTCTCGCCTGAGAGGAACACTGGAGCTCCCCAAAAATCATGTGGGGAAAGGAGGAGAACCCTATCAGGTTGTAGAGAAGCGGAGGATAAAGAACCCTGGGTAAAAATAGTGCTTTTACATCAGTGATGAGAAACCCTATAAAATTGTTGGTGGGAACCACTTAATAAGGCAGTAGAGAAAAACTGTTGGGTTAGAAACCCTATAAATATGTAGGAAAAAAAAAAAAAGTCCTTTAAGTCTGTAGCAGAAAAACCCTATAAACCATAGTGGATAAAAGCCCTATTGTAGGAAGAGGTCCCAATACGTCTCTAGACAACCCTATAAAACTGTATCAAAATCCTTGTGAAACTATAGGGTCGGGGAAGTGCAGGGAATCCAATGGCATTGACTCGAGAGGAGTGACCCTCAGAAGGTGTAGAAGAGCCTTCCATGAACTTGTTCCGCAGTGTTCTCTCCCCCTGGAGTTCAGAGGGAGCCTCTCTCCCAGAAGCCTTGGACAATGACACTGAGGAAAATGCTCAGCTGGGGACTAGTGTGGGGAGAGGTGAAAAGTAAGTGATGAGGAGCCCCCAGGCCCACAGAGAACAAACGACCCAGGGAACTAGGAAGAGAAAGTTCAGCTTGCTGCCCTGGGGGTTCCTTGGGGGATGAGGCCGATCTTAGGTGATTGCATGTTAGAGGAAGAGGCCCATGGGATTCCTCAGGAGGAAGAACCCAAAAATGGGGAAGGAAAAAGAAAAAGCGAGGTCGAGCCTTTTTAAAGGCTGAAGTTTGGGGTGCATAGAAACTTCTAAAGAATACTGGGGAACCATCACAAAAAATTAGGGGGCAGGGAGGGATTTCTGTTAGAGTGCTTTGAGGAAAGCAAACCAAGGTGAAGCCGTGTCCAGATGGAACCCAGCAAACTCGGGGCTGCCCAGTCCTCCCCGTTTCCGGGAGCTTGTTAAGCTGCAAGTGCAAGCAGATCCCGGCTCAGGCCGTCAGGGCTCCCCCCAGCCAGGCAGGACAGGGGACTTCTACTCTGAGAGGCCTCCAGGGCTGCAGGGTCCCTCCTGCCCATTCTCAGGTCTCACTGTCAGGAGGTGTCTCCTGCAATCTAACTGCCACCAGTCTTGCTGCCGTGGCAGCTCACCTCCTCGAATTCTGTCCTCAGTGGAGAGGGGTAACCGCTGCTAGTCGACCTCCAAAGAATAAAGCCCTTCAGAGACTCAAGGCCTGTGTGTGGTTAAATCCTCCCTAGACTTCTCTTCTCCAAGTCAACGAGAGCCACGTGTGGGTTCTCTGTGGCAACGAGGGACAGCAAGTCAACAGAATAGAGCGCTCTGATTAGCCAGCAACCCGCTTTTCAACCTCACTCTTTCATCTGAGCTGTTAGCCAGGCTGCTGGCGGGCTGAGCCAGCCGGCACGTAGTGGGGGGCGTCCAGACACCCCACAGACTGGGCCATGGGTCCCTGAAGAGCATCTGGAGGCCTGGCCACCTTCCTCACCCTGGTACTTGGAGTGCTCCGAGGTGGTGATGACCCAGCCCGATCATGGCCTTGGGAGGGGACAGATCCCACCCACTTGGCTCCTCTCCTCCTTAGCCAGAAACCTTCAGAGAGCAATGGAAAGATGAGAAACCCATTCCCCTGCCAGGCCCATCTCCTGTCCTCACACACCACATGGTAACACTCTTTCATTAACCCAGCCAAACCTGCTAACATGACTGGGTGTGTGTGGCAGGGGGGAGAGAGACTGCTGCCCTAGGAAATGGTTGAGTGGAAACTCTCACAACATCTGTAACAAGAACCCCACCCCCTAACCCGGGAGACGCTTAAAGAAGGAGAGGACTCCGTCCAGTGCTGGGTCCAAAGGAAGTGCCCATGGACCCCACGCACCGGTTGTACACCGTGGTCCTCGAGTCTGAGAACTGAGATGCCGGGTGAAGGGGCCCTTCAGGAGTCGCACCCCTGGAGAGGGCGACCCAGATTCCTCAGAGCTGCGGAAGAGACCTCTAATTCCATGATTTGAAAGCTGAAAGCCCTTCACCTTTCATCTCTCCTGCCCCCAAAGGGATGACCTTAAATTCAAAGGATCAAAATCTAGAACACTGTAGGAGGAAAAGCCCAGGCCTGCTGGGGAGAAGGAAAAGGCAGGCCTTGGCTAATTGTGGGGAGACCCTCGTCATCATCTGCATAAAAGCCCCAGCCCACCCAAGTGCCCGGTCAGAAAGCACTACTGAGAGGGGAGAAGGAGCCTGCCTGCCGGATCTCTACTGACAGAAGCATCAACAGAGGGAGTGTCCCTAGGAGACTGAGGAAGAGGAGACAATCCTCCACGTCAAAGCAGATTTTTTCTAAGATGGTAGTAGAAAGAAACCAGTTGTAGAGACAAACCCCTTGTAAAGCTAGAAACAGTTCCCCTCGGAAACGGGTCGGAGGAATCTGTCTTCAGAAAAGTCCCAGAGAGCAGCCTTTGGGGCTCCGGGGCCAGTCCAGGGCGGGGGGGAGGTGGTCAGTGTGGTCAAAGGCCAGCCGTCGGCCTATTGAGGACTAGGGTGTAGCATATGTAGTAGGATGCTCGCATGTGTAGGGATGGGTGAGGGCCAGCAGTCTTGGCTCCGGTACTGAATGGATGATGTGGACATGCTTAGTTGGGGTCTGGGGTTTCGTAGCAGGAAAGGGGCAGAATCGGAGACCTTTGGGGCGTGACCTGTTCTCTTGCCCACCTCCCCAAACTTCTTTACCCAGGTGCTTCCCTCCCAGAGCGAGCTACCTCTTGGGAGGTACTAAGCAGGGATCTGGCTTGGGGAGGTGGCAGTGTCCAGAGTCCCTCTGACCAGGTTAGGCAAAGGCCCAGGGGATGGTCATGGCACGTGCCCACCAGAACTTAGTCCAGAAGGCACAGTGTAGCCAAACCCTCTCGTCCAGCTCCACGCAGGCCTGACTTCAGAAGTGCCCTGGTGGAGGAGCTCAACAGACCGGTCACAGGGTCATCAGTGAAAGCAGAGGGGAGAGTAGACACTGATCTGAGCTTAGGGTGCAGCTTGAAACCTCTATGGCTCTGGAGGTCACATGGGAACTCGACAGAGCTGGGCATGAATCCTGAATGGTGGGGAAACTTGAAACCATCACAACCAAGAGGTGGGATTCCATGACACCTGCTCCTGAGGTGAGCAGCCCCCAGACCCCTTTGCCCCCATTAGGGAAGCCCCACTCAACCTGACTTGTCCCCGTGGAGTGAAGAGAGGCCCCACTTTTGAGTGTTGTGTGTCAATAACAGTGTTGTGTCACTGGTGGTCATGTTGATTAGTTGAAGAGAATAAAGGGAATAAGATTTCCCAGATGTTTTCTGTTTTCTCTTTCAAGCCTGGAGCAAGCTGAAGGAGCTTGTCCTCTCCCAGAGCCAGGGTCTGTGTGTCACCTCCAAAGCTCAGCCGGGCCCAGGCTCCCCTTGTACTCTTCGCTCAGATGCCCTCAAATCCCCGACCAGTGCTTGCGGGTAGGAGCCCGAGGGTTTATGGATTGTTAAAATCCACGTCCTTCAGAGAAAGGGGGAGAAACGTGCTGAGATGGTGGCAGAGCCAGGGTCTTAACTGGTGCCTGGCTTTTGCCACCAGCATGACCTGCTGACTCCTGGGTGGCTGCCCGGTGATTCTGGCGCTGGCTGGCTCCGGTCCAGCCGTGCGGGCCTAAGGAGGCCTCTCTGACCACCCCACAACTGCACTCTCCCCAGGCTGCCACAAGGGAAAGCTCCGAAGATCTAGTTCCAAAAGCTGGTGGCACCTCCCCTGGTTCATCTGGGGCCCAGTCAGCCCACCGCTGGACCAGAGCCTCCTAGACCCTGAGGAAGCATGGGTGGAGATCTCACCGCAGGAGGCAGCCCATAAGCCTTCACTGTGTGGAGAGGCTCGGAGAAGGGCAGCCACTTGCACAAGATCCACAGGAAGGCAGTGAGGGGAACCAGAACGGCCGGGAGCAGGCTCTGCACCCAGCCAAACCTCTCCTCCCCCAGCACTGGGCCTGCCTGGGCCTGCCCTGGGCTCCACACTGTCTGGCCAGGCAGGGCTGCTCTTGCTGAATCCTCAGTGCCAGGCTTGCCTCAGTGCCATCTCCTGGGCCTAGGCCTGGCCATGGCCCCCTGAACAGCCACTTGAGATCCACACTTGCTCTAACCTGTAGCCTGCCTCTGTCCCGGCCAGGAAGCTTTCTCTCCCCTCTCTCTGTGCCTCCCTGGCCTAGACTCCCAGAGCAGGCTCGCTGTCTCTCCCTCCCCTTCCCCATCTGGAAAGCAGGGAGTGGGGTGGTGGGTAAGGGAGAAGGGACTTGCCTTTCCCGGGGAGGTGAGCAGCGAAGGCTATCCTGCCTTCTGTGTCCGCTGTCCTGGTCCCAGTGCAGGAGTCTTCAGTGAAGTGAGGGGACTTCAGGGAAAGAACAGGCACTGGAGCACAGTGATTGGTTCAGGGACTTAGCAGAAAAGGCTGTGGACCCAGATGTGGTCCCTGCCACAGCAGAGGGTCAGGAAACTGGCCGGAGGAAGTGACCTGAGGCAGAGGGCAGGAGCCAGGAATGGGGTGGGGGATACAAAGTACATAACATTACACGGGGTGGGCAGCAGAGCACTGAGTAGAGACTGAGGTCAGGTAAAGAACAGAAGCCGAAGTGTGGGGCATCTTGTCTGAGGAACCTGGGGGTAGAGCACCACCGGGAGGAGAGTGACAACCTTGCGCACCGCCCCCCCCCACCCCATGGTAGTGTTTTTGTAGGTCTGGAACTCAGGAAGGAGAACTGGACTAGAGAATTGGATCTTAGCAGCTTAGCTGTAGCCAAAGCCATGGATAAGGACACAGGGAGAGTAGTGGAGAAGAAAGGAGAGGGTGTAGCTTAGGATTGGAGGAACAAGGCCAGCAGAAGACAGTATGAGAACAATCAGGAGAGTGTAGCACCACAGTCCAAGGAAGTTTTAAAGAGAGTGGTCAATGTCAAATGCTCCACTGGACTCTGTGGCCAACCACACAGTAGCCCTAGTTCTGGCTAAAACAGGCACCTTCACCATGACGCCAACATCTGCACACCCCCAAGGCCAGCTAAGGTCAGGGCTGGTCCAGGAGGAACTTTGGCCTGCCCATCCTAGGGGCCCAGGGTATCACAGCCACTGAGGCCACTTGGGGCTACTGGGGGTTGTCAGGGGTCAAACTTCCTGAGTGAAGGGACCTGACCAGCCCCTAAGGCACAGCCTCCCAGAAATTCTGGCATCTGTATCCCCTGCCCTTGAGCTTGAGAAAGTGGTTTGATTGCCTTCTAGACAGGAGTTTTTACTTCTCTTGGCTACGGAGACTGGCCAAACAGAGACATCTAGGGAGGCGATGTGTAGTTACTAATATTTACTGAAAGAGCCTGTGTGAAGAAGACTGCTGAGAAAGAGGACAGTGCTCACTGAAGATTGGCTGACCCTGACTGCTCCGGGCGCGGCCCTCCTCTCAGAGCCTGCTCGCGTCTCTATGATGCAATATGCTGCGTTTTTCCCAGCCTTGGGTGGCAGACTCTTCCTCCACGGCCCGATGCCATCGCCCGCCGCGGCCCGAGTCTCGGTGAGCGTGCCCGCCGTGGCCAGCCCAGCGCCGGAAGTCACCGTGGCCCGCGTCTCCGTCTCCACTCCGACCTGGTCCAGCCGCTGCAACCCCGCCGAAACCCTGGACGCCAGGTGGGGCCCGAAGGAGGACAAGGCCGCGAGCCCCCGCGAAGGAGCAACCGTCGAAAAGGCCGCGGGGCCCCGCGAAGGCGCGACTGCTGCCAAACCTGCGGCCGCCACAACCATGCGTCCGACTCCGGCCCCTAGCCCGGTCAGTACCGGCCCCGGCGCGAGCCCCGTCACCGCTGCAGCGAAGGCTCCGCCCGCGGACCCAATAGCAAATTGAACCCACAGACACCACTCGACACGCGGTTCCCGAGAACACAGTTGCAATGAAAGAAGTCACCCGCTGCGCTGCTCTAATCTGTCCGCCTGCGGGGGGAGGGGCGGGTGAAGCCGGTGGGAAGGGACAGTCCGCAGATTGGGTCCAGATCTGCCTTTGGCCGTCACAACCCGGGAACCAGCCGACCCCACCTAGGACCTTGTTGCCAGGGGCTAACAAGGGACTACATTTCCCGGAACCCAACACGAGGCTCCCAGCATCCCTGCGGCCAATGACTGCGAGGGGCGTGGCGAGCCCGCGCGGAGGGGGCCGGCAGGGCTGCCGGGCTCCGCGGAGGGTCAGCCTGACCGGGTGGGAGCAGGAGGGGGAGGCTGGTGACGGTGGGCGAAGGATGCTTTCTCCCTGCAGACATGCTCCACCCACGAGCACAGTCTGGGATCCGAGACGGCAGTTAGATCCAAATGTAACTAAATGTTGGAGGTGGGAAGGGTGAGGTTTCTGCGCGGGCCCTTGGGGGTTCACATGCCAGCCAGGGCAGCGACGGGAGAAGTGTAGCAACTAAAATCTGGGACCACGTTTAGGGCAGGAAGCCTGGCTACTCGGAGTGTAGGCTGAGGGTTGGACGTTTATTCATAACAATTAACAGCCTATACAAGACATCTCTAGAGCAGGGCCTATGGGTCTGAATGGACCCTTGCACCTGTCAGCAGCTCCACCTTCCAGACCCCTGCCTGCGGCCTTCACAACCCATGGGAGTTTGCTTGGGCAGGCAGCACAGGAAGCATCTTGGGGACAGGCTCAGTCACAGGGTGTTAGATGAAGCTCCTCTACCTGGAATGATTGGAAGTTGGCCCAGCCGCTAGTCTGTCCCTTCCCCTCCTGGGAAATTCCGCCTCCACTGCAGTTAAGGCCATCCGGATGAAAGCAGGGTCCGGGCTGGGGACCCAGTGGAGTCTTGGGAAGCCTGAGGTGGGGGGTGGGGGGTGGGGTAAATGGGCTTGGGAAAGAAATAGAGATGGAGGTGGGGAGGCTGATTAGAATAGAGACTGATGATCTTGGTTCAGCACTCCTGAGATGAGGGCAAGGTGACTGCAGCAGCCAAAGTTTCCCAGAAGAGGAGGACAGTGCCCCCCACCCAGGGGGTACCTCCTTCAGCCCTTGGCATAAGAGCCAGACCAAAGAGCCCAGGGAACTCCACAGGAGGGAAGCCCCACCCAAGCTTGGAGAGTCTCCCTGGGCCCCAGAGTTAAGGGGCTGGGGAAACTGGCCCACCCTTGGTCCTCACTTGTGGGTAAGCAGGTAGTGAATGAACCTCCTCTTGGGTAGGAGGTCATGGCCTGGGGGATTTCACCCTTTGGACTAGGATGGGCCCATGGAGACAGCTGCCTAGGAGTCAGCCTGTGGCGAAGGGTTAGGGCCAGCTTCCAGGAAGCTCAGCTGAGTGCTCTGCTCAGAGCAGACCCTCCCTGCAGGGCAGGTGCCCCTTAGGCTACAGCTCTGACTGGGGGGGAAAGATGGAACTAAGCTTGACGGATCTCACCCCCACTAGCACGCACTGGGACCCCCAAACCGACTAGGTGGACAGGGGCTGGGCCCACAAGGTCTGGAATGGAGGGTAGGGGCCACTGAACATGGGGTAGGGAGGGACTGGAGGCACAGCCCCCAGGGTCCGTGGGTGTTCCAAAGTCCCCTGAGTTACGGGTTCAGCTGATGTAGACGCGATGGAAGTCGTGGGCACCAAAGGCCGCGTTGCACTTGGGGCACTTCCTCTGGCGGGCCTCATAGCGGCCCCGCACGCACTCGAAGCAGAAAACGTGGAAGCACTTGGTAAGGACTGCATCCTTCTTGCGGGTGTTACAGCAGGGGCAGGTCAACCGCGCCTGGGCCGGGCAAAGGCATCAGCTCGGGCACAGTCCTGATGGCACCCAGACCCCGAGCTGACAGTAGGAGATGGTCCAGGCTAAGCCCACCACATAGCAGAATCCATCTAACTCTCCCCGGAACCCTGAGAGGTGGGGCAGAGCACTCTCCGGATAAGGAAACTAAGGCTCAGAGGCCGAGCAAGCTCTCAAAACTAGAAAGTAGCAGAGTCTGAATTCTACCCTGCTCAGTGGTGGCCAGCAGGCAACATGTCCCCTCCCCTCTCAAAGCTGACAACCCACAGGCTCAGCCCGGGCTCCTCTGCCCTGGGGCTTGATCTCACCCCGCTGGCCTTCTCTGGCAAAACCCCAATCCTAGCTGGAGCTCACTGTCTACCTTCTCTTCATCTGCACCTGCTAAGTCACAGATGGGCATAGCAGTGCCACTAGAAATCTGCTGTCTCTACCCTCACCTGGGCCCACCCCTGGTGCCATTCAGAGATCTGGCTGGGTCCCTGGACTCATTCTTCTCTGTGAAGGTTTTACAAATCTCTCCTATCCTGAAACCTCCCACCGGCCACCAGATCTCACCTCCAACTCCAGGAGTTCCCTCAACTCCAAATTCCCCAACATTCTTCCTCTGCCCTGCTTGAAATCCCAGCCCAGCCTACTGCCCCAGCATCACCTCTTCCCTAGCTCTCAAACCACACCCATCCAAGTCCATCTCTTCTGGAAAAGCGTTCCTCTCCCTCCCCACGGCTGCCCCCCAGCTGCCTCTGCTCCTTCAAGGCCAAACCACAGGCTTCTCCTCCTCTGCCTATCAGTTATGCTTTGAGGTTCTTAGGGGAAAAGAATGACCTGTCCCCATGCTACAGACCCTCCCTGCGTGACCACAGTTGTATGCAGCTCCCACTGCTGCCTCTACTCACAATCTCCCAAACCCCTGTCGTCCACACAGTCCCTCTGCTTCAAGTGCCTTCCCAGCCAGCCTCCCACAGGTACCTCATTTTCAATATCCTGGAGACACAACACTGTCCACCAAAATCTGCTTCTCCACAGTCTTCCTAATCCCATTATGTGCCACTTGTCATCCCTCGCTTCTCAAATTAGGAATGCAAGCATTCTCGTTACCTCTCTCTCCCTCACTCCATCACTGAGTCCAAGCACTTCTGCCTCCTGAATATCTCCTGACCTCCTCTACTTGTCACTAACACCCCATGCTAGCTCCCTGTCCATTTTTGCCTCAATGACTCCAATAGCCTAACAGATTTCTCTGCCTATAGTCTTCACCTCCTCTGTACCAAATCTAACAGCAAATCAGACCACATCACTTTCTGGTTTAAAACCCTTTGATGTCGGGGCGCCTGGGTGGCTCAGTTGGTTAAGCAACTAACTGCCTGCGGCTCAGGTCATGATCCTGGAGTCCCGGGATCGAGTCCCGCATCGGGCTCCCTGCTCGGCAGGGAGTCTGCTTCTCCCTCTGACCCT